CTTGACGCTGGACTACAGAAGTGCAAGTGATTTCCTGATGCCACGTACTATATAACTCTGTTCTACTTTAATCGCACAAGTTCTATGGCGCGCTCAAATTCAGGCATACTTCTCTTAGCCTCTGTGTTAGTTAAAATAAACGAATTCGTCAGAATCAAGTCCTTCTTATGTCAGTTTATTCTGCGTTACTCAAACGTGGCACATTTTCACCAACCTCCTACTCTAGTTTGTTTCGTGTAGGTACGCATCCTGCCAGAAGACAAAACGACTAACAATCCGCCTTGAGGATACTACACAATTTCCGGCTGCGTTGAGCATACTATTCGGTTTGAAGCTGTAATAAAACCTGTGCTTTCATCGTTGTACGGCCAGCGTATTCCTGATTAACACATAAGGTGGCAAAAAAACCTGAGAAAAACATTCTATTTATTCTTTCCCTCATCCATGTCTTGCTTGTCATTGTTGCCGGGATCATCCTACGTGGCGCAATATAACACACACGCATGCTTTCCACCGTTGAAATTTATATTTACAAGTCTACCAAGTAATCTGTAAGTGCCCTTCAAAATCACTCGATGACATGCCGCGTTTACTAAAATGATCACATCATGATGATGCAAGCCCAGCGATTGTACCCTCTTCAATTGTGTGATGTGTAGATTCGTTCAGTGAAGCTTGGTGAAAACGCCCATTCAACGAGTTGTTTTGTCGAGGATTATCGTTGTATTCACCCCTCGATAGCGAAGCACACCGACAAGACACTGAACAAATTTGTTGCACAGTGAAAAAGAGAGAAATTCCAGAGCATGTCGGAAAATAAGAGGAATTCCGAGGCGGGCCGGTTTATCTAGATCAAGTATGCCAGACTAGCCGGACAGAAAAGTATGTGACCTATGGTACACAAAGCATTCTCACTTGACAAAAGCCGAGATATGAACTATTCTCTCCCTATATAAGCCGGTGTACACAACTCGGATTGTTGCTGGTAAAATGCGTACGGTGAGCATGGGTTTAGCTTGGATTCAGCTGAATTCAAACACATTCACGTCTAGTCCGACTGACAAGTACTTCTCCCTTGTAGCTTCAAATTGTTCTCTGTCTGCTGCTCGTCTCAGCCAGCCTATGCCAACCTAACCGGTCGAGACGAAGACAACAGCCACGAAGGACACAGTCCGGTGAGTTTAATCTCGATGACTGACGGAACTCAGGTGAGCACCACCACTGTTGTAAAATCGAATGATGATAAAACACTGGCAACAAAACTGCTGAGCACATCACGCAATGCAATCATGAGTATCAAACTATAAACACTTCGCCGCTTTCTGAATATTCTACCCAGATGGCAGATGTGGTCAATGAGCACCACCACCCGGAGACTCGTGCGGTCAATCTGGGACCTCACGGGAAACCGCCTAGTGCATCAGAGGTGCAGGATTGCAGAGCGTAGATTTGCCAATAAGACAGTATGAAACAGAATCCACAACATAAGGGGATAGAATGCGATGAAATGTTAGCACATGATCAAATGGCTTCGCATCGTAACAACACGGCTCCGATGGCTTAACTATTGGAAATGGAATAATTTATATTGGAGGCCGCACCTTCCCAACTAGTGCTCGGCAGTACCGGGCGAAATTTATCCCTCCAGTTTCTCGTTGTGGTGTCAAGCTGTTCTGTCGAGAGCACTCTTTATTCAATACAAAGCGTAAAATCTTTCCGTGGTTGATGCAAATACTGATCGACCTAATACTGTTCGTATCCACTGTACATATCCACCAAGGTTTCATGTTAAGTTCGTTTCCGAAAAACAAATGTCTCAGCAATTCCCTGCGAAATGAGATTAAAGCCAGTGGCACAAAATCTAACCCGACTTAGAACAAAAAGACGTGTTTACGCCTCTGAAATTCTTCTCTTTCTCTCCCTCTGTCGTCCCCTTGCCCCGTTCTACAGCCGAAGATCCTATGGAGACACCAATGACCTACTCCCGTTTGTCTGCCTATTGTCAATCAGCCGGCACAAACATCTCCGCCCGCATGGCAGACATTTGCAAGCTCCTCGAACCCTAGATGAGATGAGTTCTATAAGCAATTGTCTATGGACTGTTTCACATTGTCATGCTGTCTGAATGACGATACTAATTGACAGACGAAATATACTGATTGTGAATGGACTAAGTTGGCTTCTGCTAACCCCACCGCCTTCTCTTATGTAGCAAGCGCTGTGAGGTTTCGGTAAAACTAGGTCCGGGTTCCACTATTGACGAACCACATTCCATCATTTAGGCAGTGGTTCCTATATCTTCTTTCATTGAGTCCATCATTATTCTAGACCCAGCAAACTGAGAAATGTACGGCATGGACACTTACGTCGCATTTTCACAGATTCCGGTGTAAGATCATCCACAAAAACCACTAGCTCACCAAACACATCAGTTTCCTTCGCTTCGAGCCCGGCTGTAGCTTGTTTTCGTCTGTTGAGCAGTGAAGCAACGAAAGTTGTTTAGTCAGGTCTTTACATTGCCTGACAGTTTTTCGGTCACATCTAACCCACTGAGCAAGAGAGAATGCAACTTATTAGTCGTGAAAATTTACTTGCCTCCGTGGATCTTGTTGGCTGAGAAATTAATGGGATATATATTTAAAGTCAGACTGTTTCAACTGTAAACATTATGCAAACATGCACCATCTCCATATAAATTTTTGCAACCAACTTTCTAATGGTGGAATGCATTTCGCTGCGGGTAACCAATTATATCTTACCCGTATTTTGTATCAGCAATACCCACTAGTATACTTCTTCCCACTTTAAAAAGCGGCTGTTGGTCGCCGATTTTCGTTCATCTCCATTAGGCCGATATCAGCAGCCGCTATATCCGGGATCTCTTTCGTGGTATCAAGCCACTTACGAAGCCGAGTCCCATTTACTCTTTCCGATCCTCGACCGTCCTGAATTGTATAGACACGCCCTCGGCGGTCAGTAATGACAAACAGACCTCGCCATCGAGCGTCCAGATTCCCCGGCTTCTGTCGTCTCCCTCCCATATTCTGATGATCCTTCCGATTGAAATTTACGCTCATGGGAAATGGTCGTTCCATTCTACTTACCGTTTTTGTCTAGTTCTTTTGTGAAAGGTGGACAGGGTTTCTCGTTATTTCCAATTCTCGTCTGCTAGCTCATCCGGGGACAAACGTATTGCTCGCCAAGACCAGACCCAATTTCCTGATCAACTGCAAGTCATGGATGTCGACCATTCATCAGCTTGATCGATGAGTTGCCTGTAGTTGACTGTAATCATCATCATCATCAAAGACCACATCATCCAGTATTTAGCCTTCACAGTGCCCAATGTTTTAATGAATACATGAACGACGACTACCATTGATTTGCACGCGCACTCGGTAAGATTAGCTAGTACGGTATTTGCTTCAACTCAAGGTATTCTTGACCTTGAAAGGTCGCTTATTCAAACAAATCATCCATGTGAATAAGTCGCGGGAAATCGCACTGGTCATAGACACAAATAATCACGAATTGTTACGTTCGATATCATCTTGGTTTTCAGGGCAGCATATTCAGCAAACACAGTTATTTTATCAAAAGACCGCTCGTCATTCAAAGTTGCGTCGTTGGACAGACTTTGGCGCTGCAACTTAACCGTCGGACCTTCGTTTCCCCGAAATAACAATCTGTCGAATAAACATTTTTTCGCAAAGATACCCCATGTTGCTATGTCCATGATCACACCACAAGCCGCCATTTTCTGTCCTAATTTTGTTTTGCATCAATTTCACCTGCCTTTTTAACATTTGACATGCATCTCAGGTTCAAAGCTGCAGTGTTAAGGTTTCAGATGTGGTACCAGATACGCTTGTTAAGAAATTGGCCGCTGTCCATTCTTCATCCTCCACTACATCTGAGAAAGTTGTGAGTGAATACATGAATGGTATGCATAATATTTGTCTGTACAACTTGTGATTGAAGCAACAAACGAGCATTCTAAAATGTCAGCAGGAGGCCATGGAAACTAACGAGTATCTAGGTGTCAGGAATGTGAGATACCTGAAAGCGTCAAAGAACTTCTGGACCCTAGATCTTCACCAAAATTTCAACAGGGAAGCCGACAAACGTTCAATCAATTTAGCAACAGCCTGGATCGGTGAAAGTGAAATTCAAATAGCGTAATGTCTCTTGTAAGTTTAGCACGTACACACTTCTTCGAAAAAACCTGTTATGTTCGTCATTTGTGAGCCGTTTTCCGGCACGAGACACTAGAACGCAAAAAGCGGTCAGATATAAGAGATATGTGACGCTCGAACCCACGAAATCATGACAATAACTGCTGAAGCGTTGGAAGAAATTCTGCTGCAACAACAAATCCAGTTTGAAAAGGCGCGACGATGTTTGGTGGAAACATTGACGCAGCACTTAAAAATTCAACCACCAACTTTCGCTTCAGATACAAATTCAGTCGACTAGATCACCAACAGCCTCCCGGAGTTTCACCATGACCCTGATGCCCGTCTAACCTTTGGTTCGTGGTTCAGACTCCACTCAGAACAGATAAAACACTAGGGATCGCAATAACATATCAATTTGAACCCATTTTCAGCGTCCATTTAGTTCACCTTGGACTATGAAGACATCGGAACCATCTGGCAGGCACAATGTACAATGTGAACCGCATGCATAACACTTCTGTTCATCGGTCGAAATCCGGTGAGTCGGCGTCTAACCGAAGAGGGGTTGGTCACCTGCACACTCCTCTGGTGTGTGGAAAGCCGTCTTGTGAAATACAGCACGTTGTAGCCGATGGATTCATCAGGGTCTTCATCATTCAGGGCTTATAAAACGACGGCCGGCATTGTAGGCCAGCTCCGTTGAACACGTGGTGGGTAGTCGAGTTTTATTGCAGTAGATGATGTGCTTCAGGGCGTGACAAATGTCCATGAGTCCGAACGAGTGTTAATGTTGGATTCGGGCGAGGGTCACCACAGTCACACATGTACCGCCAGATGGCAATGATAGCAGTGTCTCGACGTCTCTCAGATGTAGCATATATTGACGAAGCACACAGGATAATGCAATTTGAGCGAGTCTTCAAACATCTTGTATTTGGCCTGTAAGTGCAATCTCTACACCTTGTATACCTACTGGAGGCCCGGCTCTGTATGCATTTTTGGAAAGCGAACAGTTTGGTCTTATACGGAAATTGTTCGGCCTCCTTTAATTAGTTTTGGACACAATGCTAGACGTTTTGATGAGCAGCTATCCATGCCCATCTCTAGCGGCAAACTACCTGGCAACCGCACCGAGCCGGCTGTGGAGAGCCTGGAATGCTCCGCATTTTGCAATGATGAACTGGGCTGCCGGTAAACAGGACACCAACATTTCCACACTGACATCAAGCAGTGCACCAGAGACATCTACCTGCGGGCAGGGATCATCATTATTTGCAACCTTACTTTATTGATATATCGTACGAGAATTTTAAATATGATGTGTGTAGCGGTTATTAATCAAAACAACGAGTCCTGGTGCCCCAAAACGGATGGTTCGCCTTCCACCTAGTCCACTGGTAGATACGGGGCCAAATTTAATTACAGGACTGCAACTGTACTATATTTTGCTTCCGCAAGCACGGTGTGAGCTTTAGCATGTCACGTAAATTAGTGCCTGCAACTTTCGCCTATTGTAATAGATTCGCGTTTCAGCTCACTTAAAGGGCCTACATCCAACTAGACTTAACTGATGGCCTTGAGAAATTGCTCACCCAAGCAAGAATTCGCAGGAAGCCCCATCAGACACAGGTACTCTGAACTATTGAGTGATAGCCTTGAAAGAACCATTTTATTCGATGAATCGATTCCATTGGGTGAGTACTGAGTGACAATATGTAACCGTCAGGTGAGTGTAGATTCGTGTAATTGTTGCACTTGAAGACCAGTCAGTTACAAGAACCCATAGGTGAGATGACGCGTTGTTATCAGCAACACGATTACGGATATGGAAATTGTATCCACTGAGCAAAGTTGAACGCCATCGAATGACGAATCAGTATGGATGGGATGTATCAAAACTGAAATGATCAAATCATGTCAATTTGAGCATATGATGTATCGGTCCGACAGCAACGGCCACGACAACAGCGCGGTGAGAAGCTGAATAAAAACCCTCAAACATTGAGCTGATAAGATCGGAGTTGTTACTGCCTGGAATACTTGGTAGTTTTTAACACACATCAGGTAGCCTTGATTAGTTGGGTTGTTAACTAGGTCTACGAACGGTGAAGTAAAGATGGTATGTCTGATTGGCATGTCTGAAGGGTGGAAAAAAGGAAGTTTTTGTGCCAAAAATCAAGGGCAAGATGAAACCTACTGAACGCGTCAGGTCTGTGAAGGGGGCTGAGTTGGCATTCATAGCTGTTGGAATGAGTGATACATCGACGTTCCGTCGGGCTAGACGGTCACCAAAGGGGATAAGAAAGGCGATGAACACGCCAGGATAGCCATAAGGTTGGAGTTAGTGGTTGCCTATCGGTCACAAAATTAAGTTTCTCATAGGTCGAATTTGAAATTTTTCGGTTGCTCCTGTCAGTGGTGATCCACGTCGTTTTTGAATTCACTAATCCTCAAATCCACGCAGTGACGCAAACCCAAAAGTCTGTTCCTGTGTGTGTGATTGCTCTTTTTTCTAGAGTAAATTAAGTATGTGAATCCAGGCGAATTGACCATGAACTGTGCAGTGTGCTGAGAAAAACTAGTCAAATAAAGGATGATTGATTGAGCATTTTAATCTTATACGGCATATTCTAATTTGACAGAGGTTGCACATTATACAAACTTTGAGCAGATGGTGGATAGGCAAATATATTGATTGGTCAATTTCCAGGGCTCTGGTTGCATACGACAAAAACCACCTTATAAGTATCGTAGTTTCAGAGTCATTTTGATGCCAATTTGCATAGTGGTTTAGAACATGATCCTATGGCCAGGTTGGTCGACTTAAATTCCTCAGTTGAATCGAATTATTGGTAACCGTGGTAAATTAGACATACTGGTTGTTCACCGGTGAATAGTCCATCCGTCAGCATAAAATGTTTCTACCAATATTTGTGGAATGATTGTGGATAAAATAAAGGCCGATGCCGGGCTAGATACAAATTTGTTTGTGTACTTCAGAAAATACAAGGAAGAGCATCACCATATCAGTGCACACCCGACTATGTCGTGATCGGTACGTTCGCATCACTGGGTGTTTGGCTTCCGGAAATCCAAAGGCCCATGCACTCTACATAAGGTGGTCAATTTTTCTATGCTTCTTTAAGCTTACTGGCGAGTTGTCTGCGTCATAATTTACGAGCGTCAGACAATGACGCTTTAGACATCATGCTATGCCAGCCTTCAGTTGAAAACAAATATATCAGAGTACAAAAACAAATGTACAGCCAATTGTGACTAGTCGTATGGCTTCTCAGCATTCGTGTAGTTATCCAAACTGGGTTGGTCGTGGTATATAGGTCTGAGAGCGCCTAACCTTCGTCTTCGAGTCGAGAGATTGCATTCGGTGTAAAACTTTGTTCCTTAAATAGGCTACTCCATTATTCAAAAGCCATTCCCCTTAGTCTGGTTGCCGGGCTTTTGTATGCAAGGATCTGGGTATGAGTTTTTTTCAGTTCTACCCGGTTTTGGCATCTTACCGGGGTAATTTCACGTGCAAACAGGAATTGCAGGATAAAAAATACCTCCGTGCCACACTGGCCGTCTTAAAGGGACTTCAGCCCAGACAACTGGCCACATAAAACAGGGCTTGAAACCGTGGACGTCCAAGCACTGATGTCAGCCATTTTTATTTATCGTTATTGCGGACTCTTCTACTATCCCACTTGAAATATACAGCGTATGCAAATTTGGTTGATTCATATGTAAGTATTGGTGGACTACAACCTTGCTTACTGGGCTTCGACTCATAAGATCTTTCTCCGTTTCCCATCCACAGATATTGTCGTGAACTGTCGTAACTTCAAGGAATCACTATCCTCTGTCTCTACTGCTACTACTATTCCTATTCCTTACTCATGCCCCTCTTCACAAGCTTCTAACTTCGGCTGTAGTTGTCCAAACGCCCCGCAAAACCTTTATTCGTTCAATCTGGTTTGTCACCGGTTTAGGGTTATATGGTCCTCCAGCTGAAAGGAGATTATCTGTGACCCTGTATCGGCCTGACTCCATCTGGTCAATATCCTCACCTAACCCAGATCCCGCTGCCACGGGAATGCCTATCCCCTCTCCGATTGCGGCATCCTTGACAACCGTTACGAGCTGTCCATAAACTCAAAAATGTCAGTGCATAAATAATACCTCCGTGTCACACTGGCCGTCTTAGAGGGACATCAACCCATACAACTGGCTGCAAAAGACAGGGCTTGTAACGTGGACGCCCATACACTGATGACACCCGTTTTTATTTACCGTTAATGCGGACCCTTCTACTATCTGTTACGGATCGGTCACGCAGCGAGCAAACAATATGATATGCGGATTGTTGCAATACTCTATCCCCAGCTATGTTGCTTGATCCAGACTCCTAGCACGGCGAATAGTGAGAAGACGAAAACCTCGGACACAAACTTTAATAATCCAACAACACACGATCAACAGGCGATGCCCGGAGCTTCCGAACCCAAGTCAGTCGAAAGAAAATGGTATCCTGTACGTGGTCGGATTCAAATTTCCTTGGAGTATCAATAGGCCATAGATTTTTCATAGTTTGACCTTGAAGATGCCAGGAGTTCGCTAGCACACATAAAAACACAGCGTTTTCTGGGGGATGTTGATATCCCCAACACCTCCCCTTCTGAAAAGTCAGTAACGTACTCGACGGGGGTCGACCTGGATACGCTCCGGCTGGCGTCGGCGTCGGGCTGTCCCCCGCCTGGGAAGA